CGTCATGATCAAACTAGGAGAAAATTTTTGAACTTTCACTTTCAATCACTGATTTTTTAGGTCAAGCAATGAACTTGACTAAAAAAATGATCTGGGTGACTTCGTTTATAATTTGGGTTGGTTTGGATTGATGGTTCTTTTTGCTTGGATAATTTTGAGTTTGTTAAATGTGATTACTTGGATTTTCAATCTACTTTCCTGTGTTTACATCTAAGTATATGTGATTTAAATATTGATTGTATCAGGTTGAAAGCTTTTTAGCAATTAGGGAATACGGATGGACACTGGAACTAAATTCTAGTAATTTCCCTGGCAAGTTTTCTGGTTATCACTTTAAGCTATATATCCTAAGCAAACTAATATAATGATTTTCAAAAACTAATTTATCCATAATGTGGTTATACTTGGTTCTCATAGGAGAATCTATGGCAGATTCTGACATTAATTGTGTGGACAATAATGTTTCTTTGTTGATAGTATGTATTGATTGACAGCTTTTAGGTTTAAATATTACTGGTTTGAATTTGTTAAATGTGATTACTTGGATTTTGAATCTGGTTTCCTGTGTTTACATCTAAATATGTGATATCTAAATGTTGATTATATCAGGTTGAAAGCCTTTTACCAATTAGGGAATGCGGATGGATACTGGAACTAAATTCTAGTAATTTCCTTGACAGTTCTCTAGTTGTCACTATTAGTTATATATCCCAAGTAAACGAGTGTACCGATTTTCAAAAACTAATTTATCCATATTGTGGTTATACTTGGTTCGTGTAGGAGAATCTATGGCAGATTCTGACGTTTGTTTTCTTTTGTTTTTTGAATAAAGGGTGGGAAAAAGCACCAGATTGAAAGCATTGTATCTTGGAACATTTGGTAAGTCCACTACTCAATTTTGATGGTTGTTTATTTTATGGAAAATAATGTGACATTATATGTATTTTTCTTCTAAAAAATTGATATTTTTTAAGTAGTGTATATTGATTAACAGCTTTTATGTTAGTATTACATAAAATGCAGTTATTGCTATGTGGTCTCATTTGTTCACATTGATTGGACAAGTACTTGGTTCTTATAGGAGAATCTATGGCACATTCTAACATTGATTGTGCGGACAATAATGTTCTTTTGTAGATAGTATGCATTGATGAACAGCTTTTAGGTTTAAAAATTAGTAAGTGCAGTTATTGCAATCTGGCTTCATTTGTTAACTTTGGTTGTGTCGGGTACATGAATGTTTCTGCTGGTTAAAATTTAGGGTTAGGTTCAGTTACATTTTGCATTGACCAATGCATATTCCGGGAATGAATCCATTTATGGAAAAACAAATTATCATTTATAAATGCTGTACCGTAACCATGATTATGCACACTTGATGTAACTCTGGCGCTCTGAAGTCTTTGATTATAATCGTTCATCAAAATTCTTGCATCTATTTCTCTTCGGAATCTCAAAGGATTGTGTCTTATACATATTGTTTTGACAATTATTGATTGGGAAATTTTTGTTATAATCCTGGCTGGCACTGAAGCAATATGCATGTATGTTAATATGATCTTTCCCCAGTTTATTTTTTTTAAAAAAAATGATCTTTCCCTGGTCAAGCTTCTAAATATTTCAACCCTCAAAACGAAATTTCATCTTATCATTATTGTTGGTAAATGATTGAGACAGTCTTCGTTCGACAAATCTTAACCACATATATTCAGGAGTAATTTTACGGTACTATAAATTTAGGAACTTGTCCTCTATATATCATGAAGTTTTTAAAGTTGGAGATGGTGTAATCACTCTGTTGCTTTGGGAATGTTTAATGTAACTAAAATTATCTGCAGATGAATGGTTTGTGATGGTATGATCATTGCCCATTTCACGGAAATCTCTTTTTTCCTTTTCTTTTGCATTACGGAATGATGTATTATCATGTTATGTTTTACTATCACAGTTTCTCTTCTCTAAATCCAATAATCATTTGACATATGCTAACTGAATTATAATTTACAAACAGATGTCTCCACCTGTCTTTATGTCAGTGGTCAACCAAGAGATACATCCAGACAACTATAGCCCCATAGTGCTGAAAATGCACTGGATACTTCCTCATGCATGTAAGTTCCAGAACTTCAATTTTATTGAGTAAGATACTTGCCTGAGTTTTCGGTATTGACAGCACAATAGATATTTCTTTCTCGCCGGTCTCCATCTGTTGGAGTATATCGACCTCATTAAATATTGTAAATTCAGTCAGATCCTTTGATTCATCTTCTTTGATATCACTAGTATCTGCAAGATTATAGATGTGGTTGTTGTACTGATCTGTATCAACAATATTATCGCACTCAAACACTCAATCAACTTCTCCTGGATCCAATAGCAAGTTGAGATCCAATGGCTGTAGCTTAAGTAGAGAAGGATTGGTAGAACTAAAAAATTGTGAACTTTAAAACCAAATCAAGAGGATTGTAAATTTTAGTTCTATCAATCCTGCCCTACTTAAGTTACAACCATTAGACCTCCACCTGCTATGGATTCAAGAGAAGTCGATCGCTTGCTTGAGTGCGATAACATTATTGATACAGATTAGAACAACAACCACATCTATGATCTTGCAGATATTGGTGAAATAAAAAAAGATGAATTAAAGGATCTGACTAAACTTACAGTATTTAATGAGGTTGATATACTCCAGCAGATGGAGACCGACATTGAAAAAATATCTAACAGGTGCGCAGAGCCAGAGCCTGGCATGTTCGCCTGGTCGTGCTGTCAATATCAAAATCCCAGGCGAGCATCTTACTCCTCAATCGTAGAGAGAAAGAATAAGAGTGTAAAGTGGTTTCCTGCTCCAGACTGCAAGCTGTGGTAGGGAGTAATGGATTCATGATGTGTCATGTGCACGTTACCCCAAATTTTGCTAGCATTGTAGCCACAAGGCTCACTGTCCTGTAGACTGTGACAGTATGAAGCAATGGATGTTGAAGAACAAGTTAGACAGAGGTAACATGGAGTGGTATTACTGAATATATATGCAAGCTGATCTTTTAAGATTGTATAAAAATATCTCCGCACAATTTGGAAAATATCTGAGGAATTTTTGTTAATGAAAGAGTTCGTTGTACAGCAAAGCGAGCTTGTTTTTCTTGCACTTTGCGAGAGAATACAATGTGTTGGACCTTCTGTTCCCTAATAAGTTGTAAAGAAATCTCTGTGAAGCTCTTTTTTCTCAACCAAGAGGCTTTGCCTCTTGCATCTTTTCCTCCAGAACGTTGAAAAGATTTTCTTTTCTCATAGACGCTATGTTCTTAGATGGTTCACATCCATTTATCTTTCCAATCTTAAAGAGCGTCTGGGAGGTGTCATTTTCACTGATGGTGATTTGTTAGGGAATTATTCATCATGCCCAATGTTGAAATTTGTGCAATTATGGACTGCAATATCTTTTCTAAAGGTTCTAAATGTCTCTGCTCTCAGACTCAAATATCTTTAGATAGACTATTTTCGTGGGCTCAAAAACATTGAGATCAATCTTCATACTTGAAGTCTTATATCACTTATACTGGGAGGAAATCTTGCACAAAACTATCATATTCGGGACGGTCCTATTCATTATGTAGATATTCAAGTTGGAGAAGTTTACAGAAACCAAATGAGTATAGATGTTTCTAGTTAGTCTGCGTTTAAGTTGCTGACTGAAATCTGTAATGTTACCGTACTAGCTGTGGATAATTTGTTTCGGGAGGTATATGCTTTGTCCATTTCTTCTACTTATTGAGTTTTCATATTTTTGGCTAATTACTTGATTTCTTTAATGCATCCTCTTACCGTTCCTTTTAAAACATTCAATTAACCCATGAAATTCCTTTCCTTTTAATACACAGAAGATTACGATCCTCCTCGATAGAATGTCAAATGTATATAATGCCTACTTTCTAATGATTGTGAGTTCCTAAACTTCAATTTTTGTCATATTTTACACATTTATTAGCCACTATTATTTGGGGACAGTAGGTTACTTAATTGTTAAAGTGCATGCTTACTATAGTAATTATGTTTATTATTTTTTTGCTTTTCTGAACTATATTAAATTGTGCAGGCACAAGAAGAGACTTTATTCTTGTCCACTTAGGAATGGAATTCAGAAAACCATGTGACTGTTGGGATTCCAAATTTTCTGGAATATGTTTACATTAACATGTCTTTTGGACATGAAATTGGCCATCTCTATCTTTCAGAATAGTACTTAAGCGATGATGGAAAGAAGTATAAGATTATTGAGAAGTTATTAGTACTTCCAAGAACTTCAACAAAAGCAGAAGTACTTCTGTTGTAGTTTAAATTTTAGGTTCTCAAAAGAGGTAATAACATTTTTGCTACTTATTTTCAACAAGTAAGGGGTTCTTACGTTTGCACTTGAGTTTCACAAATTTGCACTTAAGTTAATGAGATGTCCTTGCCAATATTGGTCGAAAGATTCTTGGGTAAATTCTTTTCTTGGCAATATCTACAAAATAAAATTTCTGCTTATTGTTGGGAATTGTCCATTAGGAATTTGCAGTATCAGTACTGAAATGCTCATGTTTTTGTAGGTAACATTATTTCCTTAGGCCAACTATTGGTTTTTGCTATCGGTTTGTGGAACTGGAAAATTCAATGCGTGGTTAGCTATATTTCTAGTGTTTTGACCATCTCCTTAGGAGTAGACAATCATATGTTGATTAACTATGTTTTTTGGAATTTTTATTATTTTTGCTGTGAAATTTTTAGGTGCATACCCAAGTCAAACACAAGTTAAATTGCAATGCACATCAGATTGTTTCGGTGTCCCTTTAAGTTGTTTTAAGGTTTTCTGTATGAAAGGAAAAAGAAAAAAGAAATGGCTCACTCTCAACTGATTTCAATTCTATGTTTCTCTGGTTGCAGGAAAAAATCAAATTGCTGAATGGTTCATGTGTGGACAACAAAGAGAATTAGTGTTTGACATAGACGAAACAAAAGTTTAAGTCTTTTGTCCTGTATCTCGGGACACTTACGTTAATGAGGCTATCGCGTCCCTTTCGAGAAGACCAAGGATAAAAGGGGCCTATCTTGATAGGATTAGATAGTTTAACCTCTTGATGAAACTAGTGCTTACTTTGTCAAATAAATGTACATTTTATTCAATCTTTTTTTATACTAAGGGCCAAATTTTATGGCCCCAATGCTGTGATATAGTTGTCTATATGTATTATATGTACAGATAGCATGTAGAAAGAAACTCAGAAGTCAGGAAATTAGAAAACTTATCATGAGATTAGAGTATGGAGAAGGAGATGTAGCAGCTTGTTTTTCTTCTTTGTCATAATCTCCTTTTGAATGTAATGTAATGGAATTGCAAAAGTTTTGGAATTTAAAGGATTCCTCTTTGAAGCACTTTCTCTAGTTTGGTTGTCTTCTTATTGTAAGCGGTAAACTGTTATCGATATGGAATAATTGTGATCGAACTATGCAAATCTATCTTTTTTTTTTCTGATATTTCTCTTATTGAAATGGATTTATGTTGGAATTATTGTTTTTAGGTTAAAGAGTACTTCAAAAATTTGTGGTAAATTTGTTCCATCTAATGATTATTTTTTATTCGTTGTTGAGATATAATATATTTAAGAAATAAATAAGTATAATGATGTAAAAATATATTAAATTAGAGAATTTTTTTAAAAATATAAAATTAGATTAAATTTAAAAATTAAAAATTAAAATCAATACTAATATAAGACCATTTATTCGATTGAATGTTTTTAAATATTATTCTAATTTATAATAATATAGTTTATTAAAATATATTAAGTTTTATATTATACAATGTTAGATGGATTTTTAAATTAAATAAAGCAAATATTTCAAATAAAATGCAAAACGGCACACATATGGTGCGTTCTTCTGGGTAGATAAGTTTGGATTTAACATTTCATCAGCGGATCCCGAATGAAACACAATCGGGTTAGGGTATTCTTCGGATCTTGTTTGTGTTTTGAGAGTTAGGGATTATAAATTCATCGTTAACCACCAGGTATCCCACGAGCCGCTTCCCAGCTTTGGAATAGATTGAGGGAAGTCTGCATAGAATCTTACCAGAGAGATGGATGCTGTAAAACCTGGAGAGAAACAGCTAGAGAAAGAAGATGACGACGACGACGAAGATGAAGGAACCGTCGTGGATCATGAAGTCCTTCCGTCGAATAAGTAATTTACCAAGGTAATCTCGGTTGTTGTCTCTTGGCTGAGCCTCTTTTTAATCTTTTATCACTACGTTTTTGCACTTGATTTGGATTTCTTCATGATCGATTGAAGCGGGAAATTGAAAAAAACAAAGATAAACTTTTTTGATCTTTCAATTCAGTTGCTGGTTGTTTTAGGTCAAGCAATGAACTTGACTGAAAAAATTATCTGGGTGGCTTCATATATAATTTGGGTCGATTTGGATTGATGGTGATTTTTGCTTAGATAATTTCAGTTGGTTAAATGTGATTAATTGGACTTTGAATCTACTTTCCGGTGTTTACATCTAAATATATATGATTTGAATATTGATTATATCAGGTTGAGAGCTTTTTAGCAATTAGGGGACACGGATGTGTACTGGAACTAAATTCTAGTAATTTCCCTAGCAGTTCTCTAGTTGTCGCTTTTAGTCATATTTCTTGAGCACGCTAGTATTCTGATATTGAAAAATTAATTTATCCATATTGTGGTCATACTTGGTTCTTGTAGAGAATCTATGGCAGATTCTGACGTTTGCTCTTTTCTTTTAGAAAAAAAGATTGGGAAAATGCACGGGTTTGAAAGCGTTGTATCTTGGAACATTTGGTAAGTTCACTGCTCAATTCTGACGTTTGTTTATTTTATGAAAAATAATGTTACGTTATAGACATTTTTCTTCTAAAAAAATGATACTTTTTAGTTAGTGTATATCGATTAACAGCTTTTAGGCTTAATAGTACTTAAATGCGGTTATTGCTATGTGGCCTCATTTGTTAACATTGATTGTGACAAGTACTTGGACATTTAGGGTTAGGTTCAGTCACATTTTGTATTGACCAACGTATATTCCGGGAATGAATCCATTTATGGAAAGAAAAGATTTTCATTTATAAATGCTGTACCTTAACCATGATCATGCACACTTGATGTAACTCTGGCGCTGGTGGGATCTGAAGTCTTTGATTATAATCGTTCGTCAAAATTTTTGTATCCATTTCTCTTCGAAATCTCAAAGGAGTGTGTCTTATAGATACTGTTTTGACAATCATTGATTGGAAAATATTTGTTATAATCCTGGCTGGTGCTGAAGAGTATGCATGTATGTTAATATGATCTTTCCCCAGTTTATTTTAAAAAAATCTTTCCCTGGTCAAGCTTCTAAATATTTCAACCCTCAAAACAAAATTTCATCTCATCATTAGTGTTGGTAAATGATTGAGACCATATTGAGGAGAAATTTTATGGTACTATAAATTTAGGAACTTGTCCTCTATATATCGTGAAGTTTTTCAAGTTGGAGGTGTAATCACTCTGTTGCTTAGGGAATGTTTCATGTAACTAAATTTTCTGCAGACGAATGGTTTGTGATGGTATAATCTCTGCTCATTTCGTGTAATTTCTTTTTTCCTTGCCTTTTGCATTACAGAATAATGTACTATCATGTTATGTTTTGCTGTCGCAGTTTCTCTTCTCTAAATCTGACAATCATTTGACATATGCAAATTGAATTGTGTTTTACAAACAGGTGCCTCCATCTATCTGTCTGGTCAGTGGTCTACCAAGAGATACGTCCAGGCAGTTATAGCCCAATAGTGCCGAAAATACACTGGATACTTTCTCATGCATGTAAGTTCCAAAACTTCAATTTTATTGAGGAGTAAGATACGTGCTTGGGATTTCGATACTGACAGCACAATTGATATTTCTTCAATATCGGTCTCCTCTTGTTGAAGTATATTAACCTCATTAAATATTGTAAATTTGGTAAGATCTTTTGATTTATCTTCTTTGATATCACCAGTGTCTGCTAGATCATAGATGTGGTTGTTGTGCTGGTAGTATCAAAGAAGATAAATCAGAGGATCTAACCAAATTTACAATATTTAAAGAGGTTGATATACTCCAGCAAATGGAGACCGACATTGAAGCAATACTATTGTGCTGTCAGTATTGAAATCTCAGGAAAGTATCTTGCTCCTCAACATGGCTGGAGCACTAATAAAGTGTACGATAAATGGTTTTCTAATGAATGCAAGGTTCGTGAGAGGACCAGTTAGTTAATTGAGAATCTACCAAAAGTTTCGTTAGTCTTATTAATTACAGAATCTGCTTTGGATCTTATAGTCATGATAAGATTCAATCGGCTTCTTGTGGCCATGGCCATTAGTGGTTGTTTGGGGCTAAGGTGTCCAGAGCCATCTTGCAGCACAATTGTCTGCCAGGACATGGGTTTTTGGGTTGCCCACTTAGGTGGAAAAGGAAAAATATCTTGGTTACGTTGTTCAATTTTATGTACAAAAAAGGAATGATATTTTAAAGTGATGTCCCATTCCAGACTGCAAACGTGCAATCGTTCTAGCAGTGGTACGGAGTAATGGGATTCATGATGTATTATGTGCATGTTACCACAAATTATGACACTGTGAATCAATGGATGTTGAAGAACGAGTGAGATGGAGGTAACATGAAGAGTTTTTACTGAATATTATGCAAGCTGATTTTTTAAGAGTATATGAAAATGTCTCCACACTGTGTCGATAATGTCGTGATTGTTGGATCCTAAATTTTGAGGAATTTTTTTTAATGAAAGAGTTTGTTGTACAGCTAAGCTAGCTTTTTTTTTTTCTGGCATTTTCCCAGAAAATACAATATGTTGGACCTTCTGTTCTCCAATGAGTTGTAAAGAAATCAAGTAATTGTATGTGTAGCTCTTTTTCTCAACCAAGGGGGTTTGGCCCTTGCCTCTTTTTGTCCACTGCTGTAATATAGTTGTCTAATTGTATTATATGTACAGATAGCAAGTAGAAAGAAACACTGGGAAATCAGTGAGTTAAAAAACTTGTCCGGACATAAAAGTATGAAGATGGAGATGTGTAGCTTGATTTTCTTCCTTGTGTTAATCTCCTTCTGAATGGAGGGTAAATGGAATTTCGAACTTTTGGAATTAATGGATTCCTCTTTGATGAACTTCTAGTTTGGTTGTCTATTTTTTGTAGACCGGAATTTGATTATGTTAGTTGAAATCATTGTTTCTAGGATAAGAGTGTCAAAGAAATAGCGAGGATGGAATGTTAATGACAAAATCCCTCAAAATCTATTTGACGCGATTTCAGATAATTATTTATGCGTTGTTTCAAATAATTTAAATTGTTCTATGTGTTGAATATTTTCTTTTTAGGTTTGTTGATGATTTAGCTTTAGGGATTGTTTCAGATAATGATCGAGAAAGATAATTTTGACTGAAAAATATTAATTATGTCGAGTTCTAAAAAAGTTAATTCTTCGGATTTATTTATTTTTTAATTCAAATTTCAAAATTTGTTATATGAAATATAAATATTCTCAAACGAATTATTTATTTATTTTTTATAAATTTTTAATACATAAATTAAATTTTCGAACTTTAAAATTTAAATGTTATTTTATCTCTATTTAAAATTTATTTATCGGTAAAATAAGAGTAGTAGATGTCCAAACCAAGAACAATTTTTTTTTATTCATTTGAAACTCAAAATCTTTTATTCTTCAAAAAAGTTGTAATATATAAACTGAATTGTCAAGGAATTTATGATGAGTTTTGATATTTTTGAGAAATGGTTTGTATTATAGGAGATAAATAATATTTTTAATGATTATATTTAAAAATAAAATTATTTACTAATTTTATATTTTTTAAGTTAGTAAAACATTACCTCATTATAAAATAAGTAATATAGTTAAATTTTTATTATTTTTATAAAAAAATTTTGTATTATTAGAATAATATTTTTTAAAAAATAATATTATTTAAATGATTAAAATAATTAAAATTTTATGTTATCTAATTTTTTTTATTATTTCAAAGTTTATTATTAATTTATAATATTATTAACTAAATGTAACATCATATTTTATATTGAAATATTTTACAACAAGTTTTATTAATCACTTTATTGTTCTTCACTTAAAGTAATTTTTGTTAAAACTCATTTTTAAATTACATTTTTCCCTACATCGAAAGTATAAGTATGAGTACCCAAGTGTTCATGTTTATGTCATTAACATACATAATTATTATTGTCTTATACCAACTTTTACTTCCTCTATGTTGTTTTAGAATTGGAAAATTCAATACTTTGTTGACTTAATTTTAGTGTTTTGATATTTTCCGAGTAAAAGATATCATATGCTTATTAGCTCTACTTTTAGATATTATTATTTTTCGTGTAGAATGCTTATAAGCATTATTGAACTTTTATACGAATGTAATGCTTTAACAAGTTAAATAAAAATCAACATTGTTTCGTGATATTTTTAGTTGGTGTAAATTTTTCTAGTTAAAAAAAAAAATAACTTCATCTCAACTAGTTTCACTTTTAGTGTTTACCTAGTTGCATAAAAAACTCAATAAATTTCTGAAGAATCCGTGTTTAGAGAATGAAGACAATTGACTTTTGATATTAAGAAAATAACTTGTTAACTCTTTAATAGTCTTTTTCATTTTTTTTTTTTGAGAGTTTAGATTAGTGAAATTATCATATATATTTGAAGAAAATCGAGATAAAAACGAGAGTAACTTAATAGGTTAATAAAAATTTAGTCTTATGATGGAAGTAACGATTACTCTCTTAAACAGATTTATTAATAGTTTTTGACATCTCTTTCTCTTTGAGATACAATTTTTTATTTTTTATTTTTTAATTTTTGAACATCATCGATACGTCTAATGTTTTAGCATTTTAAACATATTTCAAATTAGTTATTGTTGGTTAATCAACTGTTTTTATCAAAATAAAAACATTCAATAACTGTGAATGGATATAAATAAATGAAGATTTATTTATATAATAATTCTTTAATTAGTTACAAGAAATTTTATGATTATTACCGCATATAACCACTATTTGATGATATTTAACAACTGATCTTTATTTAATAATAATCGATCTTATTATAATAATCAAAAAAATTCTTTAAGAGTTTGTGTGGTAAATATGCTCATTTATTCAATGATCATTTTTTGTTATATTATAATATAGTACATTTAAGAAATAAATGGATATAGTCATTTTAAATTATATTAAATTATTATTATTTTTAAAATATCAAGTTAAATTAAATATTAAAATAAGCAGACAAATTAGACAGAAAATTATTGGCCTCTCAAACAACTCCACTACTTGCAAATGCAGATTCTGAATTTTCTCCACTGAATGCATTCTTCTTTCTCTTTGATCTGCTTCAATGAGGCCTTGTTGGGGATGGTCCTTCTATTAACTATGTAGATATTCAAGTTGGAGAAGTTTACAGGAACCAAATGAGTACAGATGTTCTTAGTTTCATTGCTTTTAAGTTGCTGACTGAACTCTATAATGTTACTGTAGTAGCTGTGGATAATTTGTTTCATGAAGTATATGCTTTTTCTATTTCTTCTACTTATTGATTGTTCCCTTTTTTCTCTAATTACTTGATTTCTCTAATGCATATCTTACCTTTCCTTTTAAAAAATACAAGTAACCTAAAACATTCTTTAGTGTTGAATGCAGCTTGTCGTCTACGAAGGCCAGTGATTCATGGACATATTCAAATGCGATCACTTTAAAACATGAGCAATGTATATCTGTCTATTTGGCCATCCAAGAAACATATACAGATGATTATGGTCCTCCTCTGTAGAATGCTGAATGTATGTAGCAGTTCTTTGGTTGTCACTTTTAGTTATTATATCCTAAGCAAAGGAGTATACGATCTTTCAAAACTAATTTATCCATATTGTGGTTATATTTGGTTCTTCTAGGAGAATATATGGTAAATTCTTACCTTTGTCTTTTTTTTATATATAAAAAGTGTGAAAAAGTACCGGTTTAAAAGTATTATATCTCGAAACATTTAGTAAGTTCACTACTCAATTCTGACGTTTGTTTATTTTATGAAAAATAATATTACATTGTAGATATTTTTTTCTTAAAAAAATGATACTTTTTACTTAGTGTGTATCGATTAAAGCTTGTAGGTGTAATATTACTTTAATGCAATTATTGTTATATGTTCTCAGTTGTTAATATTGGTTGTGACAAGTAGTTAAACATTTATTCTAGTTCAAATTTAGGGTTAGGTTTAGTCGCAATTTGCATGACCAACGTACATTGCGGGAAAACATCCATTGATGGAAAAATAGATTATCATTTATAAACGTTATACCGTAACCATGATCATGCACACTTTATGTGACTCTATCGCTGATGCAATCTGAAGTCTTTTATTATAAATGTTCATCAAAATTCTTGCATCCATTTCTCTTTGAAATCTCAAAGGAGCGTGTCTTATACATACATGCTGAAAAGTATGCATGTATGTTAATATGATCTTTGGTCTAGTTTATTTATATAAAAAAATGATTTTTCCCTAGTCAAGCTTCTAAATATTTCAACCCTTAAAACGAAATTTCATCTTACCATTATTGTTGGTAAATGATTGAGACCAGTCTTCGATCAATAAGTTTTTACCACATATATTCAGGAAAAATTTTATGGTACTATAAATTTAAGAACTTGTCCTCTATATATCGTGAAGTTTTTCATGTTGGAGGTGTAATCACTCTGTTGCTTTGGAAATGTTTCATGTAACTAAATTTCTTTCTGATGAATGGTTTATGATGGTAAATCATTCCTAACTTCATGCAAATCTCTTTTTTCCTTGTCTTTTGACTTACGGAATAATATATTATCATGTTAGATTTCTGCGTCGCAGTTTCTTTTTTCTAAATCCAACAATCATTTGACATGTGCAAATTGAATTTTATTTTTACATACAGGTGCCTCCACCTATCTATTTGGTCAATGGTGAACCAAGAGATACGTCCATAGCCCAATAGTACCGAAAATGCACTGGATACTTTTTCATGCATTTAAATTCTAGAACTTCAATTTTATTGAGGAGTAAGATACATGGCTGAGATTTTGATACTAACAGCACAATAGATATTTCTTTAATATCGGTTTCCTCTTGTTGAAGTATATCAACCTCATTAAATATTGTAAATTTGGTAAGATCTTTTGATTTATCTTCTTTGATATCACCAGTATCCGCTAGATCATAGATGTGGCTGTTGTGTTGGTGATATCAAAGAAAATAAATCAAAAAATCTAATCAAATTTACAATTTTTAATGAGGTTGATATACTCCAACAAATGGAGACCGACATTAAAGCAATATTTATTGTGCTATCAGTATTGAAATCCCAGGAAAGTATCTTGCTCCTCAACATGACTGGAGCACAAATAAAGTGTACGATAAATGATTTCTAATGAATGCAAAGTTCGTGAGAGGACCAATTTGTTAATTAAGAATTTACCAAAAGTTTCAAGTTTTGGTAGTCTTCTTACTTGTGGGATAGCACGTAGAAAGAATCTGGAAAATCAGGAAGTTGAAAAACTTATCTTGAGATAGAGCATGGAGAAGGAGATGTAGCTTGTTTTTTTTTCCTTGTGTTAATCTTCTTTTTGGATGATATGTACTGAATTATCAAAACTTGTGGAATTTTAAGGATTCAACTTTGAAAGGACTTCCTCTAGTTTGGTTGTCTTTTTATTGTACACTTTAAATACTTATGTCAGTTGGAATGAATCGATGTTTTCGCACGGTAATGATCGAACCATGCAAATTTATCTTTTTTTTTCCTCGTCACTTCTCTAATTGAAATGAATCAATGCTGGAGCTTCGAAGAAATAGCGAGTATGGAACGTGAATGACAAAACTTTTGTTCGTAATAATTAAATTTGCATTATTACCAAATTTAAATGGTTAGTTTTATTTAATGAATTTTTTTTGTTCATTATTAAGATATAATATATTTAAAATATAAATAGATATAATAATTTGAAAGTATATTAAATTAATGCGGCTTTTAAAAATATGAAAGTGAACTAAACATAAATTACTTTGGTTAAATATTTTTAAATGTTTTATCTGTTCTGTACTTCCATATTATAATTTATAATAATGTAATTTATTAAAATACATCTGAAGTCTTATATTATAATATGTTAGATGAATTTTTAAATTAAAGAAATGTAAATCAAATATTTCAAATAAAATGCAAAACGACACACAAATTAGCAGAAGAGTAATTTTATTGACTGTTCATCTGGGTATTAGATAAAGTTGGATTTTGATTTAAAAAAAAAAAAATTTGTTGTAACTTTTATTTACTTGAGGATATAAAAGATAATTTATTTCATTATATTGTAATCTGTTGACTCGGCCCAACCCGACTGAAACAATCGGATCAGGGTATTTTGCAGATCTTTGTTTGTGTTTTGAGAGAACGGCCTATAAATTCATCGTTAACCACCAGGGATTGAAGGAGCCGCTTCCGATCTGTGGAACAAAACTGCGGGAAGTCTGCATAGAACCTTACCAGAGAGATGGATGCTATAAAACTTGTTGCGAAACAACTAGAGAAAGAAGATGACGACGACGACGAAGATGACGACGACGACGACGAAGATGAAGGAACCATCATGCATCATGAACTCCTTTCGTCGAATAAGTAATTAACCAAGGTAATCTCGACTGTTGTCTCTTGGGTGAGCCTCTTTTTTTTTATCTTTTATCACAATGCTTTTGCACTTGATTTGGATTTCGTCATGATCGATCGAAGCGGAAATTAAGGAAAACAAAGAGAAATTTTTTTGTCTATCACTTCAGTCACTGGTTGATTAGGTCAAGCGATGAACTTGACTGAAAAAATAATCTGGGTAACTTCGTTTTTAATTTGGGTTCAGTTGGATTGATTGTGATTTTTGTGTAGGAAATTTGAGTTTATTAAATCTGATTAATTTGATTTTGAATCTGGTTTCCAGTGTTTACATCTAAACATGTGTGATTTAAAAGTTGATTATGCCAGGTTGAAAGCTTTTTAGCAACTAGGGAATAAGGATGGATTCTGAAACTAAATTCTAGTAACTTCCCTGGCAGTTCTCTGGTTGTCACTTTCATTTGTTATATCCTAAGCGAACTGAGTATAAAATTTTGCAAAACTAATTTATCCATAGTATGGTTATACTTGGTTCTTGTAGGAGAATCTATGGCAGATTCTGACGTTTGCTTTTTTTTTTTTTTTTCTTCTACGAATAGTGGGAAAAAGCACCAAATTGAAAGCATTATTTCTTGGAACATTTGGTAAGTTCACTACTCAATTCTGACGTTTGTTTATTTTATGGAAAATAATATCTTTTTGATTATAAACGGTGGAATCATCCATTTTGATATATAAGAAATGATCGATTTGAAAATGCTGTAAGAGATCAAATGTAAAAATATTTTTTTTATACATGCGATCAGTAAGCGAACTAGGATCTGCAAGATCCTACTTTGATCCACCCTTCCCTCTCGAAACCTCTTCTTATCCATAGACTCAAGATCCATAAAAGTGGCTATCTTGTTTTCAGGCCTACCTTTTTCTTTCTCTACCTTCACCATAGATATTTTTCTTCTAAAAAAATGATACTGTTTAGATAGTGTATATCTATTAACAGTTTTTAGGTTTAATATTACTTAAATGCAGTTATTGCTACGTGGCCTCATTTGTTAACATTGGTTGTGACAAGTACTTGAACATTGATGGTAGTTAAAATTCAGGGTTAGGTTTAGTTGCATTTTGCATGACCAACGTGCATCGTGCGAAAGCATTCATTTATATCATTTATAAATGCTATACTCTAACCATGATCATGCACA